GTTTTGGCAACTGACGTGGTTCAACGGGGACCAAGCGGTGCCGCATCCTCTAAGGAATCCTATGCTTTAGGCCCTCATGAGCCCATCGGCGTTTTGTCATTCCCTCTTATTCCCATTAGCTTACTTTTTCACTTCTCAAGCAATCACATCAGGCACCAGACATATCAACATCGTGCTGAAACCGACAGCATTTTTTTCGTTCAAAAAAGCAAACATATATGTACATTACTCCGCGTCCTACACATTTACAAGGTGTTATGAACGTCGCCCGAGGCCGAGTATGTAGTGCATCAGTATCTCGCAGTAGCCTACAGTGACAGTCAGTGCATCCGACATCTATACATACGTTCGACCTACCATACTTTCATACTGTCGTGTTTCCGCGAAGGATCAGTCACTCTACGACTGTACCGGTGCAGTTATAAGCAACCGCGCCGTCCTCGCTCGGGCAGTCTGCACATACAGTGACTCAATGAATCTGTCGCGCTCGATGAACAAGTTAAAATCACCTACTAAGGTATTCTTCGCAGCACGCCGCATACATGCCCTCCCATTCCTGACCCTCGCTGCAAGTCATACATGTCAGGGAGAAGACCAGATGACGCGGATTGAAACGAGACCTACCACGGCACATTCACCTCACAACCAGAAGCAGTCAAGAGACTGGTGTCGGGGACGGTCGCGCCGCATTCGTTCTCCCATACGTACTCGTTAGCACTGAAAGGCTCCAAAGTAAGGCAGCACAGAGACAGAGGCATCGCTGAAGGACATGAGGCAGACACAATAGTGGTCAAGGCAAGCAAGACACCGAGCAAGATAGACTGCATCTTGTAGGATGGCATGAAAGGCTGAGAAGGTCCGGCACCGCTTGCAAGACTCCGCTCACGCTTTTAAGTGCCAAGGAGCAAGCCACAGCAGACCCGGCGTCAAGGTTATAGAAGGCAGCACGGTAGCGCGAACCGGGAGACGGACATCGTCAGGAGGTATGGCATTGAGTCGGTCATAGTAAGGAGCTCGAGGACGCGCCCAGCCTGGGTTGACAGCATGTCTCGTCCACACTACTAGACTGTTGTTCCCTCCGATGAATGCAAGGAGCCAGGTCTTCGGTGCGTAACGTACGTCTCCGATTCCGACGTCGGGCAAGTGCGACCATTGCCACTGTCTACCGGAACTGAAGACACCGGATGAAGTTGTTAGTGCGGATGATCAGCTAGCATTACATAGACCTCCAAGCCCGCGATGGCTACCGGATGTCGGACGGCATAAAATGAGGAGGCACAGTCAAGCACATGTGCATCCTCGACAGTTGCAGACCAACAATGGTACCCTATGTCGAGCAGTGAGCAGGGAATGTTTGGAGAGCTCCGTGCGTTATCACCGAGGCATCCTTGTCTCCAGATACTGCTCCACTCCTAGTCTCCCGTAGGCAGCCCCTAAAGACGACCTTTTGAAGGGGGATGTCGGCGGTCGTCTCCACTCCATGTGCATGCCACCACCTGGACCGGCCACTGAGCTGCACACTTTCAGAATCGAGCCCGAGAAACTTGAAGCGGCCGGGGGCTCTTCACATACCAAGCTTATTCGGGCATGCTCACCGCCGCGTTAAAGCTGGATGACGCCCATATACAGTTCATTTTCCGATTCCCCGGCCTTCATGAACCATGCCTTCGCTTGGTCGCATGTTGTAGTATCGTAGGTCAATACTGCCACCGCCTCCGCTATATAGCTGTGCCGTTACAATCCGCGACTTCTGTGGGCAGAGGTAAGTACACTCGGAGAGCGACTGCGGGCATACTACTCGGGTCACCCATGCGGCTACAGCCGCTCGGTGGTAGCACTAGCAGACGCGGAGCATGACAGTTTCCCGTCGACGAACTCGTGGCCAACCCAAGGACCCATTTTGGCGTCGCTTCCGCCTCCACTGCCACCAGCATCACACCCTGTGCCATGTTCGCCGTAGAGCAGCCGAGACGAGAAAGCAAGCAGTCCGGTGCACGTCGCAGGACAAAACGAGGGGACAATGGCCTGCGGGCCTCGTGTTTGTGGTGCCGCATGCCGCGCTGATTGGCCGACCAGTGTGTCCTCTGTATCCTCGCTGGTTCCTCCACCACGCCCGCGAAAGGCCCTCGACTTCTCGTCCTCGACGCTGATAAGCACGGACCAGTGTGATTCGTGCCCACCCCCGTTGCCTGCGATCGAGTCGCTTGTCCGGTCCATTTCCCCGTGCCGTCTTCTTCTCTCTCACTGCCGCCACCAGGCTGCGCCTAGTCGGCAGTTTTCACTCTCGGCGTCGCAACGTTCTCTCTGTTGCGGTCTCTACCAGCGACCACCACCATGTACTTCCGTGTCCCTCTCATCCTTTTCCTGCTGGCCAGCGCCGCCCCGTCTGACGCCAACCTCTTCTCCCGAGGCTCCGAACACATTATCCGCAGTATTAGCACTGCACATCGACATGCTGTGAAGCGTAGCTCTAATCTCGCTCGCGACCTGCGACGCGCTCTGTCTCCGATCCTCGTATCGCAGGATGGCAGCTCGCAAAGCGTGTATTGTGTCACTGGGGATGGGCTTATTGGAAGTGGCGGCGGCTCGTCTTCTGGTTCGTCTGGCGGCTCAGGAAGCGGCGGGAGTGCGTCCTCGAAAGCATCTGGGACATCTACAGCCTCAGCAGCTAGCAGCTCCAGCTCGGCCTCGTCATCGCCGTGGAAGCTGCAGCAGAACTACGTGCGTGTGCCTTTTCTGACCTCGTGGCTTGCAGCTGATCTCTCCCCAGGAGGGCGACTCGTTCTTCAATGACTGGACGTTTTTCACTGCGAGTGATCCGACAGATGGCAACGTGCAATATGTTGACTCCAGTACTGCCGTATGTCTTGGTTTCAGTAGAGCAGAAAGACAATGTACTAATCCCTGTCAACAGTCATCGGGCAACTTAACCGGTATCAACAGCGCCGGAAACGCTTACATGCGCGTAGACACAACGCAGACGGTGTCCGGTAACCGCCAGAGCGTTCGTATCACGACCAACTATACGTTCACCCAAGGTCTCGTCGTTCTCGACGCCGTGCATGCGCCTACCGGTTGTGCTACTTGGCCAGCCTTCTGGACGGACGGTGCGTCGCTTTCCTTATCCTTCACGTCCATCGTTCGAATGCATCTCCTCAGGCCCAAACTGGCCAAATGGCGGCGAGATCGACATCATGGAGGGCGTGAATTCTCTCACCATCAACCAGGCGTCTATCCACACGGCCGATGGCTGCACGCTTCCGTCTTCAGACAGCAGCACCTTGGGCATCAGTGGTACCGTTGTCGGCGGTACCAACTGTGCTGCGGAAGAGTCGGGTGACGCTGGCTGTGGTGTGCAGTCGAGCGAGACAAACTCCTTTGGCTCAGGTTTCAACGCCATTGGCGGCGGAGTGTATGCGAGTACGTATATGTCACTTATAACCGAGGGAAGTGCTTGCTTACACATAATGCAGTGCAATGGACCGACGATGGTATCAAAGTCTGGTTCTTCCCTCGCTCGTCGATCCCGTCGGACATCTCGAACAGTGCGCCGCAGCCGTCGGGCTGGGGCACGCCGCTCTCTTTCTGGCCGAGCACGGACTGCAACATGACCACGTACTTCTACGATCACCAGGCAATCTTTGACACTACGCTTTGGTAAGTCGGTATGAATCGTGAGTGGCGCGTTGGTCGTCTAATGTTCCCTACAGCGGTCAGTGGGCAGGTGATGCCTGGGACTCAACCAGTGGTACTGGCCAGTCACAAAGCTGCGCCACGATGACCGGCGTGTCAACGTGCGCTGATTATGTTGCAAATAACGGCGATGGCTTCACGGAAGCTTGTAAGTGCTACGTCATGTCTCGAGGAGTAGCATAGGCTGATGTCTTTCGCAGACTGGGAGGTCAAGAGCGTCAAGATCTACCAGGAAAGCTCATGATCTTGTTCTCTACGAGGGTTCTCTTGACGACATACACGACCAAAGACATTGTACGCTGCTGTATCTTATGTTGCTTGGTTTAGGAGGTTTCGGATTGTCGCTCTGTTAGAGATTGTAACATGGAGGGATCACGGTCACCATTTAATCATATAGACATGATCAAGTTGTAATATCGCACTACACTGAATGCAGGCCATCCTGTGTTTCTGCATCGACGCTGTTGGGAATCATCCGTCGACAGAGTGCGATTGATGGCTACGAGAGTGCGTCCCGTCTCGGGGCGTTCTGAACTTCACATTAATGGCGAATCTCGGTGGAATTGCACACGCAGGTACTTCCAGAGGCATAAAGGAAAGCTGTTGCTCAGCATATCATAATGGTGCATACAAGGAGGTGCGCGGTTTTGGCAGTGCGACAGCAGAAGACCGGGAAGAATGCGATGCGACGGACGAGACAAGACGAGGGCATCATCACAGCTCACCGGGTCTACACGAAGGGCCTACGGTGAGTATTTGAAGACTACCCGGTCAAGACAACGTACCTTCTGGAACCCGATGGCGGCGGCCTTCTCGCGGAAGCACTGGCGGCAGAGGTCAAGACCGTACTTGCGAATGAGACCAGCCTGGTGCGCGCAGTGGCGGCTTCATACGATATGTCTCATCAGCCCTCACGTTTTCATCTTCTACATCCTGCGGATACTTACCACTGGCGGGAGCCCTTACCGTACTTGCGGGGACGAGAGAACCAAACGGCGTCGTGGGTCATTTTGGTGGAGAGTTGAGAGTGCTGGCGGGATGCACTGCAAGAACACAACAGAGATAAGAACTGTATTGAGCACTGGCAGCAATACACTCACCGAAGCTGGTGTAGGGGTACGGTTTGCCGGTGATGGCGACGACGAAATTCTGTTGTGCTGTATAGTGGCTCTGGAAAACAAGGTTTGTGGGCTCTCACGGCAGTTGCCGCTGAGCTCGGGGGCGGCCGGTCGATGGACTCAACGCCGGGCGCTCACCTCTGAAAAGGCAAAAGGACTCGTAACCGTACACTAGCTCTGCCTTTCATCGCCCGCCTAGCTCAATCGGATAGAGCGTCAGACTCTTAAGGCGTGGTGACTTGCGCATTAGCGTAATCTGAAGGCTGCGAGTTCGACCCTCGCGGTGGGCTAGTTCTTTTTGCTGGGGCCGTCCAATATGCGCCCGTGGTCGGTCATGACGCTATATCGCGCTCTTCGACTGGTCGTTCACGCGTCTTCGAGTGGTCATTCAACATTCAACGTTCACGAGCTACTGTGCCATCAGTGTCGCAGTAGCGATAATTACAAGGAGATAGTTTGCACATTTCCCGTGTTTAGGACGTGCGAGGTAGAATGTCCGATGACACCTTGTCAATGGGCATGTTGATACGTCAGCAGCTTGCCATAGTTTCAAGATCTCATCGGAGCACACAAGGTACATGACTATCCTGACAATATACACCAAGGCAGATCCAGCAATGCACGACAGGTATCATCCTTCCAAAGGTCCGTCTCGTGTAATACACCTAAAGCCCTAGAGCTTCACACCTCCTATCGCTCGCGTGAGCACCTCCACGTCGTCGTCTTCATCGTCATAGTCATCCTCGTCGTCGCCAAGAGGGAATGCACCCGGGATGCGTGTCTTCGTCTTCGCCTTCCACACGCTGCTCGGTGCTCCACGAGGCACGTGGATGTCGACACGGATGTTGACGTTTTCCTCCCTCAACAGGAACGGCGACGACGTCGCAAGCGGTGAGTCTGTGGATCCAATGATTGAGTTCCAATGTGGCTACGAATCCTCCGATCACCGCACTCACCGCGGCCCTTGGCGGACGCCATGGCACTCCCGGCCTTGTTTCGCGGCGTCTTCGGCGCGCGCGTGTTCGTGGCGAACAGCGGGATGAGCTTCCCGACTTTGCATGCGCCGCACACTGAGTATGCCTATCAACAAGGACTGCATCATCTTCAAGACGACAATGACCTACCGCATTCATCGGGGTTGATAGACTTGCTGAAGCGACCGTAACTGTTGGGTCACCCGTGAGACACACAGTATCCTTTGCTATCATGATAGTCAGCGAGCGCACTCACACCTTGGCACACTCCAGGCATTCTGCAGGTGCCGTTCAGGTAAGTGCTACAGTATGAACAAATCGAATCGACTGGTCGCTTACTCCACTCGTATTTGTAATCTATCTCGTAGTTATGTTTGGTCTGTGATGACGGGAGTTCCGTAAGTGCTGCCACTTGTGACCATTGTGAAGGAAGCACTGCATACCGTAATCTCAATCTCAGGACGCGCCCGCATGATCTTGTTCGCCCTGTGGAAATGTATGAGACGTTCCGAGTCTCGATTCATGAAGCTGTGAGCTACCCACCACCCATGGAAGATACTGCCGTGATTCTCCGTAGGGTCATCACTGATGATCCAACTCGCAAGGTGGCACATCTCGTGCGATAGCGTATTCCGGATACGTTCTGCGAAGAGGCTTTTCAGAGCAGTACAGACTGTGTCTTGGCGATACCGACCATCGGAGGTGAGGATCTTCACAGCTAACTCAATCTCGCTGGTCTGCACGCCCTCCCTGTTCCTGAAGACGTCCGCGAATCACCGCGCCCCGTGAGCTCTCGCACATGCCACCGACCTATAAACCAACCAACCTCTGCCACTTCGCTTTCCCAGCAGTCGACACGAGCCTCTTGTTCCAATACAACGTCGTGTTGTCCGGCAAGCCATGCCCGAACACCGTTCTGTTCATCTCGTCAAAGAACGTCTTCGCATACCTCTCGCGGCGCTGTTGCTCGGCCGCCTCTAGAGCCTTCTTGCTCAGCCTCGGCGCCTTAGTCGCAGTCGTCTTCTTCGGACGGGCAGCAGGCTTTGCGGAACGAACACTGGCTTCGGATTCGACGTCGGTGTCGGATTTCTCCGAGTCTGTCGAGTGGATGGACACAATACGGCGGATTGGCGTAGAAGGCACAGACGCCGAGGGTATTTTACGTGTAGGGTGCGAGAGGTTAGCCGTACGGAGTGGCTTGCGTGCGCTTCGTGGTTCATCCCTGTAACATACTTTAGTGGGAGTACGGAGGCACGGAGAATGGGTGACGACACGACATACAATACCAGTATTGAGCCATCGTTGTTGTCCATGGGGTCATCGCCATCTGAGTCGTCATCAGCATACAATGGAATGGTTGACCTAAGACCGTCGTCCTGCGACGAAGTCGGGCGATGAGAGACAGCGCTCCGCGAAGTAGGCCGCTGTGTTGGCTTTATATTCACTCTGCTTGTATTTGCAGGCACGGGGTCCTCGCTCTCGCTCTCGGAAGAACTAACAGTCAAGTCGATGATAGGTCCCATGCTCCTCAGAGGGCTCCGGCGAGTGGCCGCAGGCTGCGGCACTTGCACCTGCGAAAGGGTTTTTGTGCCTGCGACGCCCTCGTTGTTAGAGGCTTCTGAGTCAGAGCTCAATATAACGCGTCGTGCACGGGGCGTTTTTCCACCGTCAGGCCGGCGGACATGACTACTCGAACGCGTCTGAGACGCGCTTATGGACAAAGAGAGTGCAAGACATGGACCCACATGTATTCCTCCTCATCAGAAGTCAGCTCAATCACGTGGTCATTCTCTCCATCAGTATGTGCGCGTCCCTTCGTTTTTGACCGTCTATGTCCGAGATATTACGGCAGCAATGTGAATGACACCAATCTTTGTTCAGCATGCAGAAAATAGACTCACTGGATCCTCTCCTCCTCGCTGTCCGGGACCACCTCGTCCATATCCTCAATCCGCATCGCGCGCAAGCCCCCGACCGTCGAGTCGACGAGTGAGACACCGAAGCCGACACGGAGCGCGACTTCGTGCAGCGGTCGGCTATTTTGAAACTCAGCCATGGGGGCCGTCCGCGCGCGCGAGGACAATGGCGACCGATTTGGCGAACAATGGCTCGGCCAGGGATGGACAAAAGCAGGCGTAGACAGTGATGCTCTGTGGGTCCTGCGCGGGGTGTATGGCACCGCCTGTGGGTGTTGGGGTGGCGAGCGGAAGCAGATCGCACGCCGAGTCGCAGGCGGAGGCAGATCGACAACTTCAACTCAACCGTGACACGACGCGCTCGCCGGCACGTGCACGCGTCCATCGCGATTCTCCCGCACTGGCGTCCGGCCACCAGATCCTCATCGGGCATCCCACTCAACCAGGGTCCAGGGAGGCCGCTTGCAAGCGTGTCAGTTCTACAGAGGTGCGATACAAGGGGCATGCAAGGACACAAGTCGTAAGATGGATCTATAAATGGCTAACGATACATGATAGTAAGACATTTGTTCGATATAGAAGCAAGATGTGGTCCCAAGTTGGATGGGAAATAGCACGGACATGACAATACGGAACGCGTAGTTCAGGTCTGGTATATCTTCACGCTCTTCACCTCCCAGTCTGTTTAAGAAGTATCAATACAGACATCCATCTCACGTGACAGACGTGACTTACATGCTTCATCAAATGCAGCCCCGTTGTTCAGGACGTACTCGGCACAAGTCGCGGTGTTCGTTGTCGAAGCGCAACTGGTTTCCTGTCCAGGTACGCCGGAAGAGTTCCAGCCGTCTCCTGCCCAAGCGCCACTGTCACGAACCATCAGCTGCCAAGACACACGCACGTTCCGAAGGAGACGTACCAAAGCGTTGTGTCGAAGATGGCGGAGTGATCGTAGAAGAACTCCGTCGTGTTGCACGATGACGAAGGAAAGTTAGCAATGGGCGTGTCCCAGGCTGACGGATCGGGCGCTCCGGAAGTGATGTCACTCGGGATAGAGGCACGAGGAAAGAAGTGGACAGTGATCCCGGTGTCATCCCATTTCACTAGATAAAGTCATCGTAAGCATTCTCGCAAGTAAGGAGGTCATTCATCATCAACGCACTCGCGTAGACGCCGCCACCCATCGAGTTAAATCCTGGCCCAAATGACGTCGTCGACGTAGACCGCACGCCACACCCCGTATCCCCCGTGCCCGCGACCGAGCAATCCTGGCTGCTCACCAGCGTCCCCGCGATACCGAGCGTACTCGCGTCCGTCGAGGGCAGGGTACATCCTGTATTCGTATGAAGGGTGACCTGGTCGTTCGTGTACGTGTTCACGCCCTCGACGATGTCGATCTCACCACCCGCGGGCCAGTTCGGGCCGTTCGACCAGAAGGCTGGCCATGTCCCGCACCCAGTCGGCATGTGCACGGCGTCAAGAACCACGAGCGCTTGCGTGTATGTGAAGTCGGTCGTGATACGCACGCTCTGGCGCGTGCCGGAGACGACCGGCGTGGTGTCTACCTTCATATATGCGTTCCCGGCGCTATTGATGCCTGTGAGGTTCGCAGATTGCTTTCCCCAGGAGGTCAGCACAGAGGAATGGACAACAGATCATGGATAAGACTCACAGCACTAGATCCGTCTACATAGTCCACCGTGCCACCGGTTGGATCAGCCGCGGTGAAGAAAGACCATCCGGCGAAGAACGAGCTTCCTTCCTGCAACCACATCTGTCAATGACAATCGCTTGCCGCCAAACTGACAATACTCACATAGGTTTGCTTGAGCTTCCACGGAGATGACGAAGTGATGGTACTACTAGCAGCGGGAGATGCAGACGACGTGCTTGAGGGCTGCACCGTCCCGGACCCAGCCACTGCAGATGCATTACCGCCCCCACCTCCATTGCCATGGCCGGTCAAAGAGGACCCGTTGGACCCTACGTTTACGCAATATGGCTGCTGTGAGGCTGAGTCGGTGTCGGAGCGACCGATGAGCATGCCGGAGTATGCAAGCTGCAGATCGCGAAGGAGAGCCGTGCCCCGGTGGTGTGCCCTGCTGGCCGCGCGCGCGACTGACTCGGACCCACGAGCAAAGACGTTGGCGTCTGACGGCACGACATTGGCAAGAAGATAGAGCAAGAGAGGGATGCGGATGATCATGACGGTGAGAGCAGAAGATGAAGGAGCGGAGGTGAACCGTCAAGGTTCAAAACACAGATAGAAAACGGCGAGCAAGTGGAAAAGGCGCAGTCGATGCCGGACTGTGGAGTCGTTAAATAAGCACGAGCTGGGCACGGTCTGGACAAAGCAGGACGACCGCAGTGCTTTGACGAGGCAACAGACAAAGCGGTGCG